AGTGCTAAGAACAAGGTGTGTGAACCCATCGATTTCATATCTAGTCTTGCTATGGTCTACTTGTGCTGCAGTCTAACACAAATGAAGCTATAGGAAACATCTGAGAAGAACAAGCGAAACCGTACAAAAGTGAAGTACCACTAGGCTACAGGATCTCACTCCTATATTGTCCAAATGCAAAAATTTGTAAGTGATGGTTGTGTTTTATTGTTACTCTTGCCTTTGTATAAATATAAACCGAAACTCATGTGCAATGTGAACAGAAGGAAAACAAGAGGAATACAGCAGAACAACATCAAGGACTTGAAGAAGAAAATAGTCCACCTAATGAAGATGTTAATATTGTGGAAGTCTTCAGGGACTTCCATAAAGTAGAAAAAATGGCATGAGCGATGCTGCAAGAGCAGCAGTTGTAAGTACCTTCTTTTGCTTCCCTTAAAATCTACTAAAGCCATTTCCATAACAGAAGGAAACGTAGCAGGAACCTAGTGTTATGGAAATCTACTAAAATCTACTAAAGCTTATGTAATCTCTATCAGCAGTAGGCTGAGGAAGACCTATGCATTACTTGTTATGAATCAATCTGTTGGATTTTCAATTGAAGTCCTCTTACACTATCTGTAACCTAATGTTTTACTGATTGAATTTTGTAGGAAGCTATGGAAACTATGCAAGCAGAACCTGTTGCTAATGGAAAGCAACTAATTACTAGTGATGATGTTGTTTGCAAGGTCCTCTGTGTCCACCAAGGCAAGGCCCCCTCCCAGGGAAGCGGCAACAACCTTTTTTTGAAGAATGCTGGTATCCAGACAAGCTCCACCAGAATAGAGACATCGGCGGAGAGAATGCTTCGGGAATAGCTTGCTGCTGAACAAGAAAGTTCCGCTGCCCTCGTCGATCAAGTGGATGAACCGAAGAGGAAGACAGAAAAGACTAAAAGGGAGCTTGAGGAATACAAGAAACGGCAATAGGAGGAGTACAACAATCTCCGTGAGCTATGCACCCGCTTTAGCTCTTCTAGTAACTCTTAGTCTTCAACTCCTATGGCTTGATGCAGTGAACATTTGTGATTTGATGTGTGGACTCATGTGCGGATTTGATGTGTGGACTCGTATGCTGGTTTAATGTGGTGATACTCTATTAGTGGTTCGCTGCTGACGTGTGAAATGTAAATTGTTGTTATTTGATTGCCATGCTAAATAGTTATGTAGTCAGTCTGTGCAGTAGTGACGATCTCGAATTACTTCTATGACAAATTGATTATACTCCACGTGGTAGAACCAGGACAGGCCACATGATCAAATAAAAATATGACACGTGGACGAACCAATGCACGACACGTGAATTGGCTAGGGCACGACACGTGGGCTATTAAAAATCTGACACGTGGAAGGAAATCATCAAGCCACATGGACGTATAAAAATAAGACATGTGGATGGACAGCATAGTGACGTGTGGTCAAATAAGAAACGGACACGTGGACCAATAAAAATACGACACATGGTCCAATGAAGAAGTGACACGTGATCCAATGGCAACACGACACGTGTGCTAGTAGAAAACTGACATGTGGAACAATAGGGAAACGACACGTGGTCCAGTAAAAACTAGAAACATGCAAGAACCAGAGATGGCCACGTTATGCAATAAGAAGGTGACACGTACCCGAACCATCTCCAATGCAGCCGGCTATAGCATGTACACGTGGGCTATAGCATGTACACGTGGAAAGCATCTCTAATGGAAGCGCCCACCAACATGGTAGCCCCCTGCGACACATGCCAAAATAGTTTAATGATAATATGTTTTTCATCACAGATCAAGACACTTCTATGACGATTTTGTCAAATTCGTCATAGATGTGCAAGAGTGACGCGACTTCTATGACGAACCGGTTTTCGTCATAAAACTAAAATTATGACGTATTTGGCTCCTTCAGTGATGAAATCTATTCATCATAGAAGTGGATATTCCTAGTAGTGTGGCCATTGAATGGCTCGTAGCCTCACTATGAAGGGGCGAGGTCCCTTGGGATCACCAGCGGCGGACAAGGGAGCGTTGGCGGGATCAGCAACAGCAATTGGCAAGAGAGCGACATCGGGATTACCGAATTCATCGTCATACTGCTGTCGGTGAAGGGCCTCCTGTTCATGGCACTCGTTGCGTTGCCTCTCGATGTGGTTGCAAACATCATGATGGGCATTGAGGACGTTGCGAACATTGCCGATAGGCTGATCGACTTCTGCGTTGGCGTTGCCGGGATTGGCCCGGTTTGGTTGGGGAGGTCGGTTCCCTGCTCCTCGCTGGCCGTGCTGATTCACAGCTTCTTGCTGGCCAAGATTGATGGGGTAGTTGCCTCTCAAACCCATCATGAGGTACTATCCGTCGCCCTATTGGCGAGCCAACCAACCAGAGTCGTGGCTTCCCCAAGCTCAGCGAGAACAAGGCTGTCGGTGGCGATTCGACATGGTAGAATGGGAAGGCGCTGGGTTGTAACAGAACTAGTTAACTTGCACCTGGGCTGCTTTAAGCAGCGCCTTGACCTTGGCGATCTCCGACATCTCCTGGAGCCTGTTCAACTCATGAGTGGCCATGGCTAGGTTGGTGCTCGGTGTCTGCTCAACTTCCTGGTCGCCAATGCGAAAAAAATCTTGCTCAAGGTTACGTCGAAAAGGTCATGGATTACCTACTACATTGTCCGGGTCCCCTTGGGTGGCAGCAGCAACAACATCTGCTTCCTCTTGATGGCATCTTACGTGGTCGGCGTTCCTGCCTTTCGAGTGCCTCGTTGGGCACTGGTTTCTCCTTCAGGAGCGACGCTATTGTGGCTGACCATAAAAAGTTCACCACCAAAGCGCCTAGGCATGATAGCGTAGCTAACGGCGGTGGCAGTGGAATCCTCCAAATCTGACTCTGGACTTTCCTCCATTATGGTGAGCAGGGAATCCTCGTCAAGCGGACAGATCTGCACCATGTTCACCACTAGCGTGACCTGATCAGCCTTAGGCAGATCGGATCCGGGGAGGTCATAGCGGCGTTGGATCTGGTCAGTGAAGCGCTCATGCATGGTGTTCTGATATATGGTAGCCGCATTGGTTAGCCCAAAGGGATGGGCCATCACGACGTCCTTCGATGGGGCTTCCCGATCGGCCTTAGGCAAATCTAACTCGAGGAGTGGTCAGCGATGAACCATACGCCCTTCTAGAGTAGCCGTGATCACCTAGTCTTCATCTTGCCACCTCGGACAAAGTGGACAAGTGGAGCGTTCGGTCGTAGCCGCCTGGTGATGCTGGAGTATGGGAAACTCGTCGCCTTTGGTAGATCAATCTAAGACCGACTCCACAAGGGACAAGCAATCGGCTAAGCCTTTGTCGACCCGATCGATAGATGCGATCAGATCGTCTTCATCAATGGATTTCCTCGGCTGACGAGGCGCCAGACGGTGAGCTCTCAGTGAGGAGGACAACCTCGGGATAGGTTCCGAGATCAGATCTGCTGGCGTAGACGTTGGCATGACTAGCGTAGGATTATCCTGCACCATCTCCACGATCTTCCCTTCGCCGTTGGTGTTGATGACCCAGGAGATGGATCCGACCGTGAAGGATTGGCCGGGCCTGGGGGGCGAACGGAGAGCTTGGGAAACGCACCATCTGGTTCACCATGAGGATCAGCACGCACACCCCTACCTGGCGCGCCAACTGTCGACGGAATATCATCGATACTTTATGAAGGGGTATACCCATGATGGTAGATTGTGTGGTGGAGGTGCGCGTGATCAGGAAACTAGATAGTAACGGAGACACAAGATTTAGACAGGTTCAGGCCGTCAATACGATGTAACACCTTAAGCCATGTGCTCTGCTGGATTGTATTGATTGTATGTTGGATGGAATAATGAGAGATGAGTTTCGAGGGGGTCCCCTACCTGCCTTATATAGCTGGGGGTAGGGTTACAGGTCGGTTAGATCTAAATCTAGTCGGTTACATGATAATCATTATATGGAATACTATATCTTGCATATCCGATCAGATCTATCTCTATCTTCTAAGAGCCTTGCACTACAAGTGTCCAAGCCTTACGGTGCACGCCGACCAGTGTCGTGCACCGTGCGCCCTCATCTTGTGGGCTGGACCACCCTGATGGTGCAGCCCATGTCTCTGTCGTGGGTATCTGGGGTTATACCCCCCCCACAAGTTCCTTATTACATTATCTTCAATACGCCAAACCCACTTAGGGGCTTAGATGTACTTTCACATATAGGGAAAAAAGTTTTGTACGAAATAAATCGACCTAGCGTATTCTAAGTTAAACTTTCTTAAGTATGTTTCACCAATTTTACAGAGAAGAATACCAATTTTTTTGGCACCAAATAAATATACTATAAAAATATGTTTTATGGTGTATCTGGTAATACTAATTTAGTTTTGATAAATATGGGTGCCCTTCACCATAGATCCGGTTAAAACTAAGATAGTTTTAATTTAGAACTCTATAAATTGATTTGTTTTGTGAAGGGGAGAATAATAACACAATAGAGTTCTAATGAGATAATATTAGGAGAAAATGGTGGAAGAGTGATGGGAGACACGGTTTCCAGTTGTCATGTGGATGAATGGATGTATTCTTATTTCATCATATACATAATATTTTCTCAAACCACAGTACCTAAATTTACACTCCCAAACACGCACACATACTCCACCCCTTTGCAGTGGCGGATCTAGAACCCAGACGGGGTTCAAGTCTATAAAACTTATACGTTCAAATTTTATGTAGTGTAGATTATTGAATGTTGCTCCACACTAGCCGTGATAGCTTCAGCTCATATCAGTGTCCACTGGATTAGTCCCATCCCAGCTCCATATTCTTGGGTCCTCAGCTCCCCTATCCCTATGAACACATGCACAAAAACCATATCTCTATAAGCACCTCCAAAAGACTAAGTAGGTAGATTTCAATATCGATTATACAATGCTTTTGGAGATGGTTATAACCATGTCACTTGATGAGGATGCATCTTGCTGGAGAACCTTCAGCACCCCGCAATCTTAGTGGCAAGCAATGCAATGTGTATATTCCAGGGCTAACACGCTCCAGATTTAAGGCTTCCACAAGGATGACCTCCTAAACAGATGAAAAATATCAAGTTCAGTTAATTATGGGTGTGGATATTTCTAATCTGTAAGTCTCTCAGTGTGTGTGTATATCAGATTGCTAAAAAAAATCAAGTGTATATGATGGAAATATTACCCTTTTTTCAAGAAATACTAAATGAGCTGGAATGCATTCATCAAATGCGCCCACTGACAAGTAGTCAACTCCTGCATGAACTAAAGGATGTTATACGAGAAGAAAGAAACATGAGATGAGTAGAAGGGAAACATGGGCTGATATTAAATGCTTAGCATAATCTAGTACACATTCGTCATCCAGATCGTATTTTGTGATTATTTCTGTACCCAAAAAATCCGTTTAATTTGTTACATCTTGCTATGCTCTTCATTCATGTGTATTTTTCTTCCTCTCACAATAAATCAAGATCTCCAACCATCCATGCAATTTTAGTTAGGCGAAGTAGATAATTTTGTACCAGCAAAACAAAAGGATCACATAGTAACACAAATAAGCTTGGTGCAAACATGCCACTAAATTAACTTAGTCTTACTACTAACAATTGTATCACAGTTTTGTAACTTGTATTAGCCAGCATGATCTATATATATATTGTGAGCTCAGATCATGCACAAAAGCTCAGACCATATGAAGAAACAACAGGATCAAAAGTGTACATCTTTGTATGATTGGACTTAGAAAATGTTGTTAACAATGTCCGAGTCTTTCATGTATAAACATTGTTTAAACCATTTTCTTAAACTTGGAGTGATTGTTCATATATTGACCTATTTCACTCAATAAAAGATCTAAAATATTGAAGTGCAGAAATGACTCAGATAATGGACTCTTTAGGAATAAAAAAATATCACTTGTATCTGTCGCTCATTTTCATAGGCAACTGTAATGCCTACAATTAACTAGTACTGACAAAAGGGACAAATATTATAAATTCAATAGAAACATTTTTTGCAAGGCCACAAGTGACCCTCTAAATGGAACTAACTTACCAACTAGTTTGATGTCGGTATTATCAACCAACCATTGTGCACCATCCTTCATGAAGCCAACATAACTTGTATCAAATTCTTTCTTCCACATAAGCTTTCTGCATAAAAAAATGTGGTCTTTTTAACACATTCGACAACTAACACAAATTTCAGCCCTACTTTTGTCACCCATGAATATAGAATTTTTTTTCACTTAGACTTCTCAACTATTAAAAAGGGAACAAGATCATTAATGAAGAGGCTATTGCAAGATTAATAAGGTACTCCCTCTGATTCCAAATGTAAGACGTTTAGGACATTCACACTATCTCCAATATAACACTTTGACTTGTGTATTTGTTTGGTAAAAGTTTAGTATCTGAAATACAGAAAGTTATATACTATGAAAGCATTTTCCATGATGAAGATGCATTATCAATATATGCATCTTTTTATGGCCAAGTTGAAGAAGTTTGGCAAACTAGAATCCTGAAACAACCTATAATTTGAATTGAAGGGAGTATTAAATTCAGGTAATCTTCATTGGGTCGACATTATTCCAAATGGATCTAATTTAATTAGGTTGGAACTGTTGTTGGTGATATGACAATTACGTGCACTATGTCCAAAACCAAGAAAATAAAAAACAGATTAGCCACTATCATGCTCGGTATGTTGAATCCATCGACAAAAGGGAAATGTAGAAATGGATGTGTTTGCATGTGCCTATGCATGTTCTTTGGACTGTAATATGGAGGTAAAACATACCTGTCTGTATTTTGGGTTCAAAAGAGTACACGTCGAACACCTTTAGGAATGTTTAGGGATGCCATAACATCAGCTACATTGAGAAAAAGAGGAAATATCTTGTGACTTGTCCTGAATTAAACTCATGTTACACACCTATCATATTAGGACCATTTTTAATCTAAAAGCGCTTGTGAGTTTTGTTAACCATTCCAGAAGCCTTTTTTTTTGTAATCATCAATTGAAAGCAGATAGACGACTGTACACTACGGGATGTTAGATAATGCATGGTCATTGAAAACCTAAGCTAAACACCATGATATCCACCTGCAATTTAGAATTTTAACCGGTTATAGAAATATATGAGAGGGTGTATGGGAAAATCATTTTTATAGTTGTGCGATGGTGTTAAGGGCTATCGAAAGTAGGGACCTCTTTTGGTGAGGAAAAGTAGGGTATACGGTACATATGACGACTAACATAAGATTGTTTAATCAACAGCTCTTATTTATCAAAGCTCTACATCAGGTTTTGAATATTATCTACTATTTACTAAAAATAGCAGGGTTATGGATGGACATATGTAAGGAGCTAGAGTTTTTTTTTTTTTTTTGAATAAACAGGAGGGGCAAGGAGCCCCTACCGGAGGTTTTATTGAACAAAGGTAAAGATACAGAACAAAACATAACAAGTGCAGGAAAAAAAGAGAAACAGCAACACTAGGAGAAAAGCTAAGGGACTGGAAAGGGGTAAGGAGCTAGAGTTAGGCTGTCATCTCAAGTTTCATAAAGCATTAAAGCTGCAGGCATACTGAAAGTATTTGATTGGCCAATCTTGTTATTATTTTGTTCTAAATACATTCTCTAAGTCAAATTATATAATCCTACAAAAAAAAGGTGAGGATCTTGGCTAATGCACTAATTTAGCAACAAAGTATCTACTGGCTGTGTAGTATTTGCGATAATAATACTCAAAAGTATATGCTGGTATGTTTTGTCTCTCTGTTTTACCTGTGATGTTCTTATCCCTGGGAACATCAACCAACAGCGCTGGTCCTGCACACCGTTCCAACTCAAAAGTTTGAGTTTCACACCTCATAAATGAAATTAATTAGTTTAATTCATTTCTACTTATTTTTCGAGATAAAGAAACCCTGCTTAACTACAGTATATTATATATACTGAAAGCAACATGATAGCAATATATATACCGTTGAGGACGGCGAGGTCGAGCGTGTCGATGTCGAAGCCGGCGTCGTAGTAGTGCTCGAAGACGTGTCCCGGCGCGTCAACGTGGGTGCCAGAGTGCGCGGTGAGACGGAGCTCCGAGAAGTTGGCGATGTCGGAGCCGTTGCGCATGGACCGCGTCAGCTGCAGGAACTCGCCCGTGCCCTCCGACGACTCCCACGCCGGCATGTCCTCGCGGTAGTAGTGGCTGATGTCCACGATCCGGCCGCCGTCGAACTCCTCGCGCCGCTCCGGCGCCGGCACCAGCACCGTTGCTGCCTCTGCCCCTGCCACGCCGCCGCATGCCTCCTCAGCGTGCGCGTAGCCCGGGTGCGCGGCGGGCTCGCCGGAGACAACCGCCACCGCCGGAAGCAGCAGCAGCTGGGTGAGAAGGAGCAGGGGCGCGAGCTCCATGGAATGGATATGCCTTGGACTTGGACTGCCCAGTGCAGTGCAGATGCCACGTACGTGTCAACACCCATCGGCTAAATAAAGCACACTACGACTGCTTCATGCGCCGCGGAAGTCAAATATTTCCACATCATTGCTTACGATCGTGTTGAACAAAGTGTTACTTTCTCCTGGCTTTATTTTTGTGCATAATAATATGGAAAGAATAACGAAGAAAGAGGTTAGAGATACTATACTAGTATGCTACTCCCACTTTAGTAGCTTATGAATGGAGGGCATCATATCATATATGCTGATTCCACAAGCTTTAGTTTGTTTTGTTTAATTTAAAAGTACAAAACAGGTTTCCATCGGTTTCATAAACTAACTGCTCCCCCTATCCTATAATATAGTGCATTCTAGCATTCAAAATTTGTCTTCAAATATAATACATTCTAGAAGAAAAAATCAATTTTACATTAAATAATTTTTATTTATCAACCAATCACCGTTAATCACGTTGATGATAACGTCTGATTAGGATATAAAATGAGGGTTCATACTGTTTTATGTTCTCTCTTAATTTGTCTTGAAATTCCTGTTTTTCCAAAGACCGTTGGCCACCAGCTCCTTGTCATCGCTGTTTGTGATCTGTGAAGCGCAACATGTTTGATTACTGCAACAAATACATTATGTTTGCCTTCAACCCCGTCAACATCATTCAACTGAACTTGGGGCAAACCAGTCTGAATTTGATTCTTCTACACCATTACACCCTAACCATTCCAGAAAGCCTTCCAATCTGATCCTCAAGATCATCATTTTACCAAAATCAGTTGCACAAACTTCTCCATTCAGTGTGCAAAACTTAAACGACCAAAACAAATTCTAATAACTGCTGCTCATGGAATAAGATGGTAGGGAATCCAAATAGGTATAATGATTTGGTCACAAGTTGAATATCTGAACAGGCCAGCTGTGCTTCCGGCCATCTGAACTGATTGCTGTGGTTTCAACCGATATGTCTATGCTACGGTGTTCAGATGCCCTCACAATGCTTATCCGAGACCTGAGCATCGTAGCTGGGCAGTCATCTGTGCCAGCCGATGCAGATGAACCCAGGGCTGATTCCTCCTTCGCCATTGCAATGGGCTCTTCAAAGGTGAAGATTGTCTGTGACCAGTGAGTTGGTGGAGAGAAGGGAGAGGTGGAGAGGACAACAGGCTTCTCCTTGCAGAATCTGTTGGTAAACCCCGTGTCAAACCACAAGACAATGCCATAGCACCAGGTCACTCCAGGCACAGTGGCACTACTTTCGCTGAGCCTCAGTTCAAAGCTTGCGGTAAAATCCATCTCACTTTCCTTCATACTTGCAAGATCAAAGGACTGAATACAAGAAATAAAAGCAAGATGTTAGTATGAATCCCTTAATTCAAAGTGGCATTTGAGCACATTTTACCAAATACTCAAAATATAAAATGTTATAAGAGAACAATTCGTTTTTTTTACAAAACTACACTTTCTAAAACCAGTTTCACAAAACTAAACTTTTATCAACATAGGAACAAAAAAAAAATATACTTGAATCATTTTGACAAAACTACACTTTTCTTGATGAGGACATCAGTCCTTCAATTCAAACCACATCACCAGCCACAACAGATATGCAACGACTAGCCACTCGCCACTCGGTCTTGTGCACATGAACTCAATTATGTGATTCTTGTAAGGAATGAAGGTCAAGTCATCAAAAAAAATGAGAGCGAAATAAAAGGGGTACTGTGCCACCTGTCCTTGGGCTGGGCCGATGTAATAAATAAAGACCACATTTAGGCAGATTTGGAAGGGATGGGAGAGGATTGTGCAAACATTGTTCTTCAGTTGTGTCAGATGACCCATGCAAGACAGCCTTTGAGAATTCCACATGTGTTCAACGATATTGTTCTTTTTGTATTCCAGTTTTGCCTAAGTCAGGTTGCAGGAATTGAACCTTGTTTTCAGATAGCAAGGTCCATAACCATGCCGAGTTGGTTCTGCGATTACTAAGGTCCCACGACCTGTTCGTTCATAGTCAGATACTCAGATCGCAAGAGTCACCTCCACCTGCTCGATAGTTACCTTTTGGGTCACCCAACCTTATTATTTCTTGTCTATTAATGTCACAAAACTACACATTTGTGCTCACTTCATTTCATAACCACTCTTCAGATAATCAGATCTCAAAAGTCTAGTTTTGTCATACAGATGACAATAAAATGTGTAGTTTTGTGATAGATGATAATAGAGTTTTAGTTTCTTAAACTTGATTCCTCAAAGTGTAACTTTGCAAAAGAAAAAGGTTGCTAAATAAAGTGTCTTTTGCGAAATTTGCCCTGTATAGAGAAAGCCATGCATCGTATTAAGGACGCGTTTGGCAGCCGTTCTGCTCCCGTTTCTAGCGAGAAACAGTGGGAATCGTTGCCAAACGCAGAAAGGACATAGCGATTCTGGAGCGAAACCTTTCGTGCTTTTGTACTACGAGAGAGAAACGGTGAAAAATTGGTTTCTAGTGATTCTCATTCTCCCTTCTCACCTCCTATTTTTTTCAATTAATCCTTTTTAATTAAGTGGGACAAGTTAAAATGGGTTGTATTTAAGTTGTTATTCGTCCACAAAAAGTTTGGAATTTTTTGAAGTATATTTTATTTGATTTTTTTGTGAATCGGAACCCAGTCTACGAGAACCCGGAGCCCTGCCAAACGCGCCCTAAGGTAGTTAACACCCAGATTGATATCTAGCTCTACAGACATTTAACAAATTCGATATCAGAAGTGAAACTAAGTAAATATGCAGAGTCACAGGAACTTACATGGAGTACAGCAGTCTCTGTCACAATATCCTGAGAAGACAGTACATCAACTACAGGAAATCGAGCTGAAGTTGAAGTTACTTCTTTGCCAATACATGACATATCGAAGCCATATACGTTTTCCCAAAATGGCAAGCTAGTTCCACCTTTCCCGAAGCCAGCACCAAGCTAGAGGGTGGATCAGGCACGAGTTATCAAACAGCAGAAAATACAGGACAGAATGCAAGCAAGCAACTGAGGACTTACAATAGTTGCAGTATCTGGGAGAATAGCACCACCAGGTTTAAGAAAATGATCACGTGCATATAGGACAGAACTTAGCATGGATTCATACAGCAGGCAATATCCCATCCATTCACTCACTAACACATCAAAGCCATTTTGTGGGACTTGTATTTTCTGGTTTAGCTCTTCAGCCCTTGTATGTACAACGCTTATCAATTGAGCACTACCTTGCTTTGGTTCTGCTTTCACGTTTTCATCATACAACAGACCATTATTCTTTGCAACCTGCATCATGCAATACCTATAAGATACTCGTGGTGCAAAGAGGTTCGGATTTTAATACAATATTGAAGAGAAAAGAGACATACTTGGGTAGCCACAGAAGCCATCTTTGCACTCCCATCAACAGCAACAACTCTAGATGCACCAGCCTTAGCTGCAAAAAGACTGTAGATAGGAAGCATATCAACAGATGCACCAGCCTTAGCTGCAAAAAGACTGTAGATAGGAAGCATATCAACAGCTGCACATGCAAAATTGACAATTCACCATGCATCAACAGTAGTGATTTACTCATTTTTATGACCAGCCTTGGACTTCAGAAACATAATCACTATATAACATGCAATGCTTCCTGGTCACGATAGGAAAGGTGTTCTAGCTGATCACAAACATAAGTCCATTTAGATTTGCCCTAACTACTAAGTCATTTTTTTAAAATTTGACTAGCAATATCTACAGAAGCATCTTAAATGAAAACAGTTATATGCCACCAAAATACTTTTCACAATGAATCCATAAATGTCAAATTTGTTTTGCCAATCCTTAATTCCTTATAAACTCAGATATGTTTTCCAGTTAAATCATGAACTAGATCAGATTTGTCAACATCGTACCTACTTATAGGACCTTAATGTGCAACCAAGTCAAAATTATCCATAACCAGTCAGTTGAGTGCAATTATCTGACCCAGACCTTTCTTGTGAACTATTATTCCACTGGTTATGTTTTCCAGATGAGCAATATGAAGCCCATTTTCTTTTACAAGATCCAAGGCTTGCATCATTGCGTTTCATGGTTAAGATAAACTAACCCCCATGCGTATAATCAGTAGGTGACCATCATATGGTGAGTGCTTAGATACCTTAGAATTCCTGTGCCGCAACCAACATCCAGTACAGTTGCTCCACTTAATAGGCTAGGATTGCCTAAAATTGCATCTCTGTAAACATCTGTTCTGACCTGAAAAAGGTTATTCAGAGCATTCGGTGTTTTCAGACCACACAAATACATATCGGACAAGAATAGACATACATATTTGACATGAACTTGTTGACCACAAATCCAGAAAGAGTTCACCTACTTTATCACCGAGCATCTCCCTGTGGATACCAAATGAACTGTAAGATCCAAAGTAGTTATCATCCACAGTTTTGATTGCTTTGGCATTAACACTAGCACGTGCAACCTTTAGGTGGCTATCATTCATCTCATGAGCAAGAGACTCCCTGTCCTCCCCTTGTGTACTCCCAATAGTACACTCTTCATGAAATTGAGGGCTGATATCAGAACCATTTCTTTCCGATATGGTGCTCAGTGTGTTCCCCAGTGGTTCAGCTAAAACCCCATTCCCTGCTGAACATTGTCCTCTTTCCATTGACATCCCACAGTCCTCATCTTCATCATCATCTTCATCGATTGACAAGCTGTGCAAAAGGGAGTCGTCTTCCATGAAAGGTTTCAAGTACACATCGTCTTCCCATGGCACCTTTCCCTCAATTAGGTAACTAGCCACTGCGTGCAAGTGGCTGCAGAGTTCGGTGTTGGAAGAAAATGTTTGGCCACAGCTCCAGCATTTTTTCTCTGCAACCTATGAATCAGCAACGGCTAGAAATCAAGCAGAGTACGCACAGAAATTAACAAATTTGAACCTTAAACAGCTCTTCATACCACCATAGAACCATTTACTTAAGCAAAGCAATTGAGCTGATAATCTAGTGCAGGCATTAACGTGGCCCAAAAAATATTACTGCCAGCAGAAGGGTGTTGCTGACACACCTCGGAGCGGACAAAGTTGATGAGCTTGATGCAGCTGTAAAAATCCAGCCCCAGCTCCTTCACAATCCTGTGGAAATCGAAGCAGTGCTCGGCGGCGCAGTGCTCGAAGAGTGAGCTCTCGGCGTCAAAACGCGAGCTACAGAACAAGCACAGCAGCCCGCCGCCAACATCTTCGCCGTCGGAGCACCAGTCGTCCCACCCCTCCTCTCCTTCCTCCTCATCTTCCTCCTCCTCGGACCTTAGCGGCTCTTCTGCCTCAAGCTCTTCCTTGTCTGCAGGGCTGCGCTCCATTTGCTGCGCGGCGTGGTTTGCAGGGGAGCTCCCTGGCGCACTCGCTCGGCCAGTCGTCTCACCGGTCGCCGCGCCGCCGCTCAGAGCTAGTGCCTCACCGAACTAGGGTTTTAGACAGATGAGGGGTTTTAGGACTAGTCGTCCAACCTAACAATTGGGCCTTTCTTAGTTGCCATTTGCCAGGTCGGCCCACCTAATACTCTCGACGTCTGAAGCCCAGTACGAGGTGCTCATAAGTTATAAACCTCCCGTTGTTCACCGCGAAAAATGTTTGGCTATCCACTGTGTTCTTCGAATGGTCTGGACAATCTAGCATTAGTTTATGTATCAACATTTTTTTTGGGCAACTCCGCTAGAGAATGGCTGCTCCGTGACGAGGACACACCAACGATATATCCACGTCAACACAAGTAACAGTTCTGATCCTATTACTCGCGTCCGTGCTCATCAACTTAATTATCAAGTAACTTCACTCTTGAGTTTCTGTCCATCATATTTAGATCATGAAGACGCGTATACTCTTGTTTTGGATAGGAACCAGCGAGAGGACCGAAAAAGAAAAGGATTCGCGCAGGCTGGATTCGGACTCCAGGACAACTCCAACTTATGATGGTCACCACGGTCGTATACGGACTCGGATTGAGACGTTCAAGTACTTCATGGGATCCTTATGAAGTTTATTTTCATATGGATCAGGAATCAAGTCCATATCTATTCCGAGGCGGTCGCAATGACCGAATTACTACCGAGAGGTTTTCTGTCCAAAGATACTGCGTCGTCTTAGCTTGGCCCAATGGACCGTGTATCAAGTCGGGTTCATTAGGGACACATCCTAGGGTTGGAGCACGTCCCAACACTCTGGTGGTCGTCCCTTCACCTTCATATACCCCTTAGCCACCACCAAGAACAGTTGGGTTTATTTAGATCAAGTTTAGCTCTCGCTACTTGCTTGTAAGCACGCGTGCTGGATCAGCCATCCGTCTTCTTGTCTCCGGAGCTCCACCTTATTTGAGATTGAGTTTGAAAACCTTCATTTTCGTCTAGTAAATTCGGTACTTGTTATACTTGTTCTTACTAATTCTTTGATTGATTGCAGGACGAGTGCCCTAGTGACCAGGTGACGCGCTCCACAAGATCGCGGTAGCCATTAGAGGTGGTGTATCGGTTGCTAAGGCGTAGCTTGAAAGGTTGTAGTCGGGCCGTGAACGTCGTCTCCACCCACCAATCGAGTTATCCCACGCCCTCTCATCGAAAGTTCAAGATTCAACCCTAGCGAGTTTATACCACTCCGGCTTTACTTTGCATTTTGACCCTTATAATCTTGCTTTGTGGTTTTACGACGTGTTGCTCTTGTCATTGAAAAATTCAGCAAAATGATCGAGTTGTAAATCATGGAGTACCGAGCTGTTTCATCACAATACTACTACAATTACCCCAAGATACAACTTGCAAATACATCTTATAATTCTAATAAATATTTTGCAAGTCCTAAGAATTCTCATATTGGTGTTGCTAGTCATAACAACAGTAGATTTGTTGCATCGGCTAATACTTCTCTTGTTAATGGTCCTTATCGCATATCACATATATCATAATTCTGGACATCATGTTGAAGAGCCGATGGCAACTATAAATTCTTCAAATTTTAATGCTACTAGCAACATACAACATGCATATACTTATTTATAGGCTACAAGTTCACAGTACGTGGTTCCACCATAAGACATACCAATAAGTGAGAGAATTGGCTAAAAAATAATAACTATCTAGTCAATTACGCTCATTTTTTTATATGGTGCACGATATGCTAATAGAATAAGGGGGTGTTTGTTTCCACGGACTAAATTTTAGTCCCTGTCACATCGAAAGTTTGGCCACTAATTTAGAGTATTAAATATAGACTAATTACAAAACTAAATGCACGGACTGAGACTAATTTGCGAGACGAATCTATTAAGCCTAATTTTTTTGGGCAACTCCACTATAGTAAATATGTGCTAATGATGAATTAATTAGGCTTAATAGATTCATCTCGTAAATTAGTCTTCGTCTATGTAATTAGTTTTATAATTAACTCATATTTAGTCCTTTTAATTAGCATCTAAACGTCCGATGTGACGGGAACTAAACTTTAGTCTCTAGAACCAAAGCACTCCCTAAATGTTCAACTTGCAAATCCAGCATCATATGCAAATGCTAAATCTCAGGTTTCGTCTTCTGAATCAATAAAAATCCAGCAAGGTACACAGATGCTAATGCTCATAATTTGGTTTTCTAGGTTACTAACAATTATAACCGAATCAACGAAAAATCAGCGAGGTGTGCAAATATTAACACTCATGATTAGCTTCATATGTTACTGATATTAATTACTCATAATCAAAGCGTTCTGTAGGATATTTTGTTTCACCGTGAATACGATTACTAGGGCAATAGATACGGATCCATTTTGGGCCTGTTAGGTAACGTGGCCCGATGGTCCGGCTGCGCTCTCGGGCTGCAACTCCCGTGTTTGGTGGACCTGGTCCAACCTCGGAGTCTGCTCCACACGAGATCTAAAGCAGCTTGGGCCTGGCCCCAGAAAAACAAAAGAGGGGTTCGTTTCTTTTCGGCCCGACTCGCTGAAGCCTCACGAGCATGGTGGACTCACCTCCCGACTGCCCCGTCTGTCTCCCACCACTCCTTCTCTCACCCTGTCTCCCACCGCTCCTTCTCGAACGTGACCGCTGCATGCCGCATGGTGGACTCGCCCCGCGCTGTGCCACCCCGCCCCGCGCCGTGGCCGAGCTTCGGAGGTTGCGCCACAGGGGAGCATCTCCGGCGCGTCCCTCACCGGATCTGGAGCATCTTCGCCGAAGGGGAGCCCTCACAGGCGCACAGGAAGAAGCCAGCCGCACGGGAGGAAGCCGCCGCGGCCTCCGCTTCTTCCACCTCCCCCCCATCCATCGATCCTCACGCGGTCCTCCCGCCCGCGTTCGAGGCCGCACTCGGCCTTTTCCCGACGCTCGCGGGCCGCCTCCGCGTCCGCAACGGCCGACGTCGCTACTGACTGCCCCGGCTCGCCGCTGCTCTACCGCCTCGCGCCGAGGGACGGCAACGCCGATGCCTACGTGGATACCTCGGCGCTCGCGCTCCAGGCCTGGGTGGCATGTTTGATGACGACTTCCACGGGATGCTCGCCGAGGGCGACTTCGATGGCAACGGCGTGCTCAGCGAGATGGAGTTCTGCCTTCTGCGTCCTCATGGTCCGCACGTCGGCACGAGCTTGCCTTCCACACGCCATGCTCGATGAAATGTCAACCATAAGAGAAAAGGTGGAAGTTTGGTGGTAAGGCTACCGAACTATGGTGCACAGTACTATACCCATTTGAGCCCTAAATCAAATACAATATGAGTTTATCCAGGCTTGTTTGGGCTAGTGAAGCAAACACGGGAAGTTGCACCAGTAAGGGCGTGTTTGGTTTACAGGATTTTTAAAGGAATCAGAATCCTATAGTTAAAACACTAGCAGCGTTTGGAATGGAGGATTCGTGAGTTCCTTTCCAGAGGAAAGGCTCCCGCAGACGCTCGTTTTAAAGGAAAAAAAGAATCTACTCAGGTCTCTGGTTTTGATTTCCTTCGAGCTGCGCAGTGTTACTTCCTGCGTTTTTCATGTGTTATGGATTCCTGCGTTCTAAACATCCTTTCTAGTTATTTTTCAGTGTTTTTTCTTTTCTACCACTACACATTCACTCTATTTCTATGTTTTTCTATTCCCGTGTATTTTAATCCTGCCTTCTAAACATGACCTAAAGCCGTGTCCCCCCCCCGTGCTGGGCAGGTCAGGTTACCAAACACGGCCTTTTCGTCTTTCTGAGGCTCGTCTCTCGGCGTTCTCGCCGTATTCCCCCCAAATTCCCAATTCCACACCCCACCCTACCCCGCCCCGCCCCAAAACCCTTGCGGCGTCGCACACACACTAGCAACCAACCCCAGGACCCTCCTCTCCGGCGGCGGCCGGCGCTTGCGCGAGGGAGATGGACCGCCCTGCCGGCGCATCGTACCAGCGCTTCCCCCGCGTTCGGATCCGCGACCTCAAGGACGACTACGCCAAGTTCGAGCTCCGCGACACCGACGCCAGCATGGCCAATGCCCTCCGCCGCGTCATGATCGCCGAGGTCCCAACCGTCGCCATCGATCTCGTCGAGATCGAGGTTAACTCCTCCGTCCTCAACGACGAGTTCATCGCCCACCGCCTGGGGCTCATCCCGCTCACTTCCGCCGCCGCCATGCAAATGCGCTTCTCTCGGGACTGCGACGCTTGCGACGGCGACGGCTCCTGCGAGTACTGCTCCGTCGAGTTTCACCTCGCCGCGCGCGCCACCGACTCCGACCAGACGCTCGAGGTCACATCCAACGACCTGAGGTCCATGGATCCCAAGGTCTGCCCAGTCGACCAAGCACGCGCCTACCAGCAGGCACTCGGTGGCACCGACCCCTTTGGAGCGAATACCTCGAACGAAAATAGGCAAGTCATCCATCATTTAGCTAGCTGCCCCACCTGCTTGTGGTTTTATTGTGTGTTGCTCAATTCATTCTGCTATTAGTCATGCTTAATAATTTATAATTTTGATTTGAATGATGGGTCCATCAGAATGTGTAATGTTGTTTGAGGCTTGGAATCAATTGAATCTGAGATCTCCATTTATCATTGTGTTATCTGCATGGGTTAGATTTGAACATGTCTCCTTGCTTTGGCAGACAATTGAACTCTTTTTAGTGGATAAATTTATTTGTTCTAGAGTGGTGTAGATATTCTAGTTCCTTCAGTGTTCCTAGCAACCGTGGCCTACCTTCTGTAATTTTTCTATTTGTTATACTAAGTTGGTTGGAACTTATTTATACCCTGTTAATTGTCTCTGACCTTTTGGTGTTCACGAATGCTGAATTTGTGACATGTGGTGCCTCATTGTATCAGCAACAGCCTATGCACTGCTGTAGGACCTGTTTAGGACAGATTTTTTCAGCCACGCTTTGAATCAAAGCTGGCTTTCTGTTACAACTCGTTTCCCTAAGAATCCAGTGGCAAGAATCGTACCGTTTTGGGGATCCGCGGGCTGTGGCCACGCCTTCGTCTTCTCCGCCGTGGGAGATGCACTGCCCGGGCTTCGTCTTCTCCGGTGAGTCCCGAGTGGCCGGTTGGGGATGCAGGAAGGAGGAAGGCTGCCGGCGCGAGGAATGGGTGCACTGTGGTGGCACGGGGAGTGGGACGGTCGCCGACGCGAGGAAGGGGAGCCAGTGTCGGCACACAGGATGGCCACGACGTGGCAGTGGTTTTTTTGGGAGGGGGGGGGGGGGGGGTCGAGGAGGAGGGTGGGGCTGGGCACTCAGCAGCCTTCGTGCTCTGAGCACAGTGAGGTGAGGGATGGCGCCGACAAGGCGGGCAGAGGGGCGGCGATGGCGTGAGAGGTGAGGAGGGGGGGCCGAGGAGGAGGGTGGGGCTGGGCACTCAGCAGCCTTTCGTGCCTCTGAGCACAGTGAGGTGAGGGATGGCGCCGACAAGGCGGGCAGCAGGGGGGCGGCGATGGCGAGGCGGAGGGTCAGGCTTAGGGCCGACGTCCATGAGGCGGGGTAGGGAGAGGTTGAAGAAGAATCGAGGGAGATCCTCCCATGGCTCCCTGGGAACCGATTTGGCTTCAACGTTGAAGGGGTGTGGTGGGGGAAATAGCGGGGGGAGAAAGCTGCGCTGGAATCGTGCCGTTTGGGGGGGGGGTCTCGTATGCTTTTTTTTCACCGTGAAGAGGGAAAAGTGGCTCCAAATAGGGCCATAGTCTATATGTGATGGATCTTAATGGTTGCATTAGTATCCTCAAATTTCATTCATAAATATTCATTGGTTGATGCCTAAATTTAAGCTGGTTAAAAGGTGAAACCTCTACAGTCATTTCCCCCCTAGCTTCTTGTGCACATTCCCTTGTTACAAAGAAATTGGTGCCATCAGCATTCCACACTTAGGGTTGCAATGGACAATATATGACTGTTATTAAACTGTCTTTTAACCATGCTTTACCAATCTTGTACTTTATAAAGTGTTAATGGTTAGATCAATTTAATATATGTTGAAATAGCGGGGGCAAAAGAAATATCCCTGTACTGCACTGTTTATTAGGACAGCTGCATTATGAGCATATAGTAATAATCTCTGTTCTAATTGGTAGTGATTTGAAGCATGATAGGTATAAAAAAGCATGGTTCTAGATGTATCTTTTGTTTAGTAGCTGTTTTCAACTCTTGTGTTCAGTGTCAAAACCTTTCAAAAGTTTCATCCACTAAAAAATGTAAAACACATGCTACGGATGCATGTTATGCTTGTATGGATGTTTTCATGGGGTACATTAAGTCAGTGCACTTTGTACTGGGCAAAATTTTGCTAGGAATTTGTTTTACTGGGAATCTGGAGGGAAGGCAATTGAATCAGATTTGTTTGCTTAGAAACGATTATTTCTATTTCCTTAAAAAAATGTTTTTTTTGCCTTGAATATGGATACATTTGGCATTTGGGAAGCCTGAAATTTGTTAGTGTAGTAGCTATTGAGTAGTCAGCTTATTGTTTGTTGCTGATCTCAGGGGCATACTTATTGTAAAGCTGCGTCGGGGGCAAGAACTAAGGCTTCGTGCCATTGCTAGGAAAGGAATTGGCAAGGACCATGCCAAATGGTCACCAGCTGCTACCGTGACTTTCATGTATGAGCCTGACATACGTATCAATGAAGAACTAATGGAAACATTGACAGTGGAAGAGAGAAGAAGCTTGATCGAAAGCAGCCCTACAAAAGTATTTAAGCTTGATTCTGCTAATCAGGTCAGTTTGTTTTCTCTAGGAATTCTGAATTATTTTCTTGTCTTGACCTATCATTGATGTGATCCGTAGAATTAAATATTTATCAGTATGTAGTACTTTACAGTTCCACGCTGCAACTATGATACTATTCAACCACTAGTTCCTTGTATAGTGGTAACTGTATGCTTTCACTAATGCAGTTTGCATTGTACTGTATTTCAAAATCTGTCATATCAGTTTCGTGAGCCTAATTGTAAGACAGCTTGTGGTCTATGCTCTCTAGGGATTGTTGGTTAGAGAGGGAGGGAGGGAGGGAGGGCCCGCCTACACACTGTTCTAAAGGTGTTGCCTAGGAGTCTAGGCGAGAAAAAATTCTGGGCGTCCAGGTAGCCTAGCTACATGTAGACATGGAAGTGGACTTGGATTGTGCAAAGATTAATTGGAATTTTTCTTCATGGACTATATTGGATTGGATTGGGTTGGAGTTGTATAATATTTGTACCTAAAGTCCGGAAAACGTTTTTGATTATGGATAACCAGAACGTGATGTCCAAAAATCCATTGGATATTCATCTGTACCCACGTGCCCTCACATGTCGCGTCTTCTCCATCCTGGTCTCCCACTGCAGCGACAGGTAAAGTCTGCCTCCTCTGTGTGACGCCACCTAGGTGGAGTAGCTGCTCCTCTGCCACCTCCAAGCAGACTTCCCCACCGGACGCTCCTGTTCATGACTAAAGCAGACTTCCATCCAGCTCTATTCCTTCTCTGGATCTCTCCTCTCTAATGTCACCAGCTACCTGGCGCCGTGCCGGATTACGCCACCCACCACCAGGCCAACCTCCCGGACAAGGGCCCATTTGGCTGGATGTTAATTGGATTATGGATGGACCTTGGATTTTCAGCAGGTGGATTAGATAGGATTTTCTATGTTTTAAACTGGACTGGAGGTGGATTCTTCATGTTTGGATTTTTCTTGGATTCCTCTAGTTTGGATTTGGATATTAATCCATTACCAGGTCTAGCCACACGACGCACCCTGTGTTTTGACATGCAGTTAATGTCCTGAAAATTGATTGAGCTGCAGTGTAAAGTGTACACCCAAATGCAAAACCTATAAAAAACACTTCCATAATTGGATAGCCACTTACAAATTCTAATGGAACTTAAAGAGTATCGTAGCTTGCATCAGTAATATTTAATCAAAGGTTGTATTTCTTTATCTCCTGCATTTTGGGCATTAAGACTCATTATTGAGAATATATCATTTGGAGGGAAATCAGCAAGTGATTGTGCAAATGTAGTTTACACTGTTTATTGACTCGTAAGGTCACCGCAGAGAAGCCACCAGGCCACCTTGTTACCATTAATGGGCCTTATTTTGCACTTAACCTTTTCTTTTTTGACTTTTGAGAAAGGAATGTACCAGCTCTCCTATGTATTTGAGAAAAAAAACTTGTAACATCTAATTTAATTTCTGATATTCGAAAAGACTGAGAGGCTCATTCCTTAGGTCTTTGCACCTAGCTGTGTGTTGCTTTGGTGTGGCAACCATTATTTTTAAGGCGATAAGTCAAGCCGCGGCGACCCGCCCATATGAGTCGACTAGGCGTTTAAGGCGCGCGGCGAGGTGATGCCATATGATCATCTTAATATATAATGCTACCAAAATTCAGAAGCAAATCATACCTTAATATTGTCAAGTCTTAGCATATAATACCATAATAAATAGTGCTACCAGAGTGCTAGTGCACAACATAAAGTAGCAAAATAGTTCTCATCACTCAATAGCAACAAATTAGTCTCTAATGACATAATATAACTTAATGACTAGTGCTGCTAGGGCAAAACAAATATAAATAGCATAACTGCAGATCTGAAATCTAACGTGAGCATCATCTAGGGATGATCATTCAAGCAGTTTTCCATCTCCACTCTAATTGCAGTGGTGGTTTTCTTGCACATCATTGTATCTCGAAAGCCACCCGCTAGATGCTTCTTCAGCCTTCTTATCCCTCCAAAAAGTGAGACACCACATAGAGTGTAGGCCACTACATCTTTGTTTTGAAGGTTTGGCCAGTAGCCATACTTCCATCCTGGATCCGCAGAGCTTCCCTTCCGAGCTAAATCAGTCCTGGGATCATAATTGCTGATGATGGAAGATGGACTTGCCATTGTGCTATCAGCTGTAAAACAAAGAACTCGAGCACTTCCAGTCAGCATCTGTATAACAAAGCCACAAGCAGAGGAAAGACATGGAAAGAAACAGAGGAAGAGGAGGGAAGCAGAGCTGCAGAGGAGATGCGAACTGCAGAGCATATCCAAGTCGAGCAGAGGCAGTGCACATCCAAATCAAGAGCAGGGGCAGTGCACATCCAGGAGGAGGGAAGCCGAAGGGAGAGAAAGAGATGCTTACGTACCTATCCTGTTACCTTACAAAGAGAGGGAAGGCGCCGTGAATCAATCAGCAGAGATGAGGGAGGACCAGAGGAGGGCAGGAGGCGCAAATCAGGGTCGCAAATCAGTGGAGAAGAGGAAGGGAGGCTCGAATCGAGGAAAGAAACTCGTGGAAGAGATGGGTTTTGACCTTGCGGGATATGGAGGCGCCTGATTTCCCGCCGGTGCTCGACTCCCGCCGGTCTTGTTGGCGCGCAAATCCCCTGCGTCCTTTCCCTCTCCCGCGCACAGCCCCTTTCCCGCTCCCGCGCGCACACGCGCAAGCTCGTGCGGCGTCCGCCTCGGGCCGTTCAGGCCTTAAACAGCGCCAAATCGCGCCTAGCCGACGACTTCTACTGCGAGGCGGACACCATACCACGATTGGTCGTGGCGAGGCCGACGCCCAGCCTGGAAACTCGACTGGACGACGACTTAAAAACAATGGTGGCAACTTCAGACATTCCTAGTTGCACTGTGGCTCTGTTGTGGACTCGTTTGTAGGGCGCCGATATAGGCGGCGGCGCCCTCGACATCCACCGAGCCCAGCCCGTGGCTAGGATTGGCAAGAGCTGGTTAGGAAGTCATTAATCGAGAGGATTGTTAGGAGTTTGTTTCCAAGTTTGTTAGTAGTGCGCCTGAGTATAAAGGACACTTTCCTTGCCAATGTATTAGAATTTAGAACCATGAATCACCTTTATGTTTCAGTTTTTATTTTGCAAATGTAGGTTCTTCCCTGTAAAGGCAACGAACGCAGCCCACTAGCTATGCTGTTATGCTTTCTGAAATGATGGGGTATGCAGAGCACTTAGGTTAACCATAAATTATCCCTTTCAACAGAAACAACAGCATAATGTAGAATTATAGGGTATTTAAATGACACATGAAGGCTTCACCTGAAACCTAAGGGGGGAATTTCACAGTAAATATTGTAGGTAAGTTATTGAGACAGCATTTTTTATAGAATACCTTGCTAGGACAACAATTGCATCCAAGTGCTTGGCATGATTCATTGGTCTTGTTGGCAGAGATAATGTGAGGTCGAGCCGTGCATGTTTTTACTGTTGTTTCATCATGCCAGTTTTGTTTAATTCAGGTTGTTCAGCTTCTGTATTGTGGCAACTGTGCAAATACAAATTGGCTCATGCTCACTTTGTTCCTTGTTCAGCTTGAATGATTTGTCCGTCGTTAATCAGCTTTAGTGGAAATCAAACTTGTAATTGATCACAAATGCTGGGCCACTTGGCGCAACATCTGACAGAGCTGCTTGTGTCTCTTTCACTAGCGTAATTTTCCTTTATAATAAATAAATCCATGGTGTTGAGCAGCTGCATTTTATTTTTGTGTAAATTATCAGGTAGTGGTGGACAATGCTGAGGCATACACCTATGATGATGAGGTGATCAAGCACGCTGAGGCCATGGGAAAGCCAGGCTTAGTTGAGATCAATGCGAAGGAGGACAGCTTCATCTTCACTGTAGAAACAACCGGCGCCATCACAGCCTATGAGCTGATCATGAACGCAATCACGGTCCTGAGGCAGAAGCTGGATGCTGTCCGCCTTCAGGACGATGATGGTGACCTTGGCGAGCTCGGCGCCCACCTTGGGGGGCCTTAGGAGCTTTGCAAGAACTGCCCTCGGTGTCTTCCTCCGCCCACTGCCTATGTAGGCCTTATCTAACTGCCATGCTAGTCGAACAGTCTGATAGCCTAGTGTCTAAGCTCCAGAATTATGGATTTCCAAATATCCAGTACTGAATTGCAGTCTCTGTGCCCACCTTGTTTGTGCTGTGACCTGAGACACCGTGGCTTTGCAGCATCGATTTAGTTATGCTCGTTATCGACCCTATAATTAACTGTGGGAGGGAGGTGGTACTGTTTGGCCGTGATGTTTTCTTGTGCGTCTGATTGATGTGGTGCGTACTGTCCCACTGTTTGTTTTGTGAGGTGAATGCAGAGTTATTTATTTGCAGGTTCCCCAGGCCCAGATTGATATGCTTGAATGCAAGGCAACCTTTGATGAGGTACATGTAGTACATACTAATATCTTGTCCTGGAGGGGCTGATTCCTAAACAGCAGCAGTAAATTTATGTGCTTTGATGAGGGTACTATGTGTGCCGGGAGGTGACTGCTTTGGCGGATGTATACTGAGATCCGTGTTAAGTCAAAGTAACTCAACTTTGATTAAGTTTATAGTAAATAGTATTAATATTTATGTCTCTAAATAAATTTATTATGAAAATATATTCTATGACTAATCTAATGATATTAATATTGTATTATGAATGTTTATATTTTTTATATAATTTTGGTCGAAGTTTAGATTGATTGATTTCTAAGAAAACGAGAATTGTATTTTTTTTTCCCTGGACGGAGGGATTGGCCTTGGCCGTGGGTGCGCTGAATGCGATGCGCGGGTGCTGAGATTTGGTGATTTCTGGAGTAAATGCCGGGTTGGGTTGGTTTGGGTCTGGATCCCCGTGTCTGCCTGCCGACTGCCGTTGCATCTGCTGCGTGAGTGCGTCGTGTGTCCGTCCGTCCGTCCGTCCGTGGACGGATGGGTTTGTTGTTTGTGCTTGTTTTTGTCTCCGTCCCTTCTCCTCTGCTGCTGTAACGGTACCGGGCCGGACGGACGGACGGTCGTTGGTAGGTGCGTACGTACGCGTCCTGGGTGACGGTGACGGACACGGAGATGGTTGGTTATACGGGGATGAGTTGAATGCAACGTGTCTGCGTGACTCGCTGCTGGGCTGCCCTGTAGAATCCATGTGGAAAAATGGGCTATGGATGGATCGTTTGGTTTGCACAGGCCGAGCGAGTCCTCTGTTCGCTGAGCTGAGCTGCCTAGTACTATCCATCAGCTTCTGGAGCGTGAGCACAAGATGCCCGTGAAACTAGTGCTTCTGTTTCCGCGACAGATTTGAGATTAGTGGGTACAACAAATCTTCATCTTGTGTGATCGTGTGTGATGCATGCCTGCCATTTTCACCAACGGTGTCAAGAGTCACGGGAGGACCGAGCCTTCTCGTAGCTATTTGATTTGATGAGAGCCTATGATAATAATATCGTAACTAAAGTTGCTCCAATTCTCCAAATATATAGATCTAAGGCAGCATGGAGAGGAGAAGAATGGATCGATCGATTTGCAACACATGATACATCTACTCGAGCGCATGCTCGCTTTGGATTTCGTCCGTGAAGCCAGTTTTGGTAGCCCCGCCCCGTTCTACCGCTAGCACTAGCAGGCAGCAGGCCACGTACTCCACTAGTAAATGCGAATCCTATAGCATCAGCTTGTCAGATTCGCGCTGATACGGGTGCTGGGCAACTGACTGACTGACTCGTCAGTGGCGTCCCCTACCTGTGCAGCGGGGCACGCGCTTTTCCGGTGCTGTGCTGTTTTGACTGACCCATCACATGAGTATGAGTACATGACACAGATTGAGATTGACACGAACGAAGGCAGGCAACAAACACAACCATCTCTGTCTGCCAACGAGGCAGGGGATTAACATTTCCTGCGCATTCAGCCCCGGCAAACTCCGCGAAATTTGGCTTTAGCAATCATCGTCATCCTCGCTTGTGTTATGATGATACGGATGATTTTGCATGGGCGCCACCCCGGCCCAGCGCTGAAATTTTGATGAAACGGGGTGGCATGGCAATGACATAGAAAGGAGGAAAGCACATGAAGCCAGCCCTGTTCGCTTGAATTTACTAGCCATGAAACACTGTTTTTCTCTCGCAGTAAATCAACGAACAATACTTTTCAGCCTTGGATTCATGTTCATCCGTCAGGTTCAGGTGCGCCCAATTCAAGGCTCATCCTTCTGCTCTGCTCCCCACACGACGCAACGCATGATGGAAGCCTGTGTGTGTGTGACAACTGACTGTGATGAGGCAGGCAGCCAGGAAGGCACGACACAGGCACACAACACTTCCCTGGTACAGTAACTGCTGCCTAGTCTCCCGGCCACGCAAAGCCTGTGAGGAGGCAGTGAGTGAGCCATGCATGCTTGTTGCACGCAAATGTCACCATGTAATTTATTACCTTGTTGGACTTGGATTGGGTGGCTTTTCACGATTCTTGAAACCCTGCCCCTCCTCTCCATTTGCTTGCATTTGGTTTAGTACACTTGCATAATTACCTCGTTCGTTTGGACTTGTTTTTGCTTATAAGTCGTACTTTTTTTAGTCAACGAACAATATTTTTCTCTCCCACCAAATCAGCCAACAGTACTTTCAACCATGACTTATCAGCCAAATCAGCCCAAGCGAACAGGACGTAGGAGTATATATATATCGTTCCATGTTGCTCAAGGCTTCTATTATTCCTGCTAAAATAAAGACACAGAGGAATGCATCAGCATTACTACACGTACTACATTGAGGGAATTATGATTTACTGTTGTCGCACGAAAACTACGCCCAGGCCAGCTAGCGCGTCTGTACCGTGCTTCGAGACGAGTGGTCTTATAATTCAATGCCATCTGGGTCCCACTGGTCATTTACATGTGGACCTACTCTATAGTAGAGTAAAATGTCCTGGTGCGCAACTAGAGCCAAATTTCCACTTGCTTGTCATGCATGCACAGCACAGAGAGGCCTATTATCAGAGAATTCCAGTTCGTCATCCTGCCGGAGATAAGCCTGGTGTACAAAATAATGTAGTTAATCGGTCAAATGATGCATTGATTCGTTTAATTGAGTTCGTATCGTTCTTGATTTGGTTCATTGAAGAAACAATGCTCCATGTGGTTGGTTGGCCCAGTGTCCATGTGAGGGGGCAGCTGGCCCCAGCCGAACACGGCGATGCACGATGCTTTTTCTTAGCTCTCTGTCTCTCTGTATTTCGTTTGTTCACGTAATGCAAGTAGTATCATCACTATGGTTTTTTATGTAGAAACTGCTGGTTTAACATTCTCCTGGTGGAACAAGGCAATCCTCTACTAACCTCCCTCCTGAAAAAAAGAGTGCATTTTTAGCTATCAAATTGTTTTTTTATTTTAAACATTTTATATATATTTTATAGTATATTTATTTAGAAATATAATTGTTTATATTATTTTCTATAAAATTAGTTAAATTTAAGATGTTTTAAATGTGTACTCTTTTTAGCCATTATTAATGGCAGCCCATTAGTGGCCTGCTTCCGCAATGTCCTCAACAGGTATAGGGAACACAAAAATGCCATGACCATGACCCATGAGCAACAGATGCCAACACAAGGTGGGTGGGCATGGCGCGGCACGGTATCCAGGTGTTGCCGTATTGAATGAACAAGAGCGCACACCGAGCCCGTTTCTCTTGTTGCCGCCTTAAATTCCCGTTTCTATTTCCACGGCCAAGGGTTCACACATTTTGCGAGTGATGGCCTGAATGCACGATAGATGCATGGCCAAATCGTCCAATCAGGCCGGATCAATCTCTCTCTCTCTCTCTCTCTCTCTCTCTCTCTCTTTACCTTCCTATACGATTCTCCTTTTCGACCCCGCCACGTCCTTGCCTTGCTAGGCTTCAATGCCTTGCCCTGCTCCTTGCCTTCGCGGCTCCACTATGCCACGTGAGAGAGAAAGGGAGGTGCGTGAGAGATATACCGTGTCCGTGTGGAGAGACCGAGTGAGGAGAAGAGAGAAAAAAAAAAAATGAATGGGCGTTTTGCCAATTTGCATATATGAATGTACATACCAGATAGAAGCTAACAACTATTCTCTCCGTTTCAAATTATAAGCCGTTTTAATTTTTTGGTACATTAATTTTGCTATATATCTATATATGACGTATGTCTAAATACATAGCAAAATCTATATACCAAAAGATTTAGATTGACTTAAAATTTGAAATGGATGGAGTAGTCCTAGTCCATCTAAAAAAATGCTTAAGAAGTGCTAACTTAGAAACTAGGATGCTTTTATATGTTCATTAATTAGGATGCCAATTAAACAAAATGATGTAGCATTGGAGTTAAAGGAGAGAGAGAAGAAAATTATTTCTAAGATAAGAACTTATATCTAAACGAGAACTAAGATGTGATAGGTACATGATAGAGAGAAAATACTCGTAACCATTCAAAAAATTATTTCGAAGAAACTCTTAATAAAGTAATAAGTATAAAAACCACTTCATAGTTTTTTTGGGTCCCTTAATCAATGAGGTCGGGCCAGGAGATATATGTAATTATTACGGGCGTGAGATTGCGTATATATGATGACGGCCTTGATTGTGTCGTGTCCTACGTACTGATGCGGGCCCGTACGTACGTTTAAATGATGGAAGAATTATTTATTAGTACTAACTCGTACCCGTAGGCCGTAGCAATAAAACCCGACCCATTTTAATTGCTGGGCGGCTGGCCTGGTCCAGCTCCTTCCAGTCCAGTCCAATCTGCGTGACTATCGAGCTACAGAGATGTTCGATCGGAAGCAAGGCGCGACTGTCTTGGATGTTCCATGGCAAAAATACCACAATAAACACGTAGTATTATTTGTCTATTAGAATGAATGAACAAGAACCTAAAAGTGGCCAAGGTGACCTGAAGACGTCACTGTATAAGCGTGTCGTGTCCCTGTTTTGTTTTGTTTTTCTTTGTTTCTTTGAATTGACGAAGTGCAGAGAGC